GCCGCAGGGAGCTAGCTGTGGTGAGTTGTCCTAGACCCGTGATGACACGTGTGCCAGAGCTGACACACAGAGCCCTTGCTGTGGGCACGCACGCTGTTGCCAGCTACTCTTCTGATTTCCGACAAGCACATGCGCACCAGCCAGCTGATCTTTGTAGATGCCGGAGTGCCAGAAAACATCCTGAAAAACAGCCAAAAAACATGGCCATTTTCCGGCCGTTTTTCACCCCCCCAAAGTGCCTGAAAATGGCCCATAATACAGGCATGTGCTGGTCGTCGGGTTTCTGGCACTCCAGCACACATGCACAAGCACGGACATGCACATGTATGCATGCACGTTCCAGTTTGGGCACTCAGTGCCGAAAAGGTTTGCCATCTCTGTCCTAGACCCTACCTGAAAGGGTGTCGCACCCAGAAGATCAAGACGGGTCTTGCATTCTCTGTGGCAGGACACAACAGTATGGATAAAAATTACCAGAGGGCAGATTCTGACTAAAACAAACAAATGACGAACTTTGACAGATAGGCACTGCCTGGGAGGTGTGGCTCTCATTCATTGGGGACGCTGTATAGTTTGGATTCCTGAATGAGCAGGAGATTAGTCTTGATGGCCATTTCCAACTTGACTGTTTTCTAACTCCACATAAGCAGGAGAACAAAGTAATGTATTGCACTCTGTGAGGTACAATATATGTAGTGCTTTGGATTGGGGTTTGCCAAAAGAAACCTGAATTTGGTCATTGGTGTGGTTTAAAAGGATATTCTCTCAAGGGGTTCTCCCCCACCCCCCACCCACGGGTACTGGGCAAAAATTACAGGTTGCTGTCAACTGTTCAACTAGTGAATCCAAAGCAAGGAAACACTCTTAGGAGAATTGAATTCCCAAAAGTAAAACTTCATTGGATACACCATGTTGGTACCAGCTCTGGTTTTCCCATGCAAATGCTTCCCCAGTTACACAATAACTTGTGCTTCTCCCCACTGGCAGGGAGCAAGTTGCCTTGGACTTCCAGATCTCTGTTCAGGAGAAGGTGATGGCACCCCTGAGGCCTTTTCTCCTTTCTCTGGGGGTCCTTCCTCCTGGTTACATGGGATTTGGGCGGGGTTGTAAGATGTCTCTGCAAAAAGAGCAATTTGGTGTGAGTGTCACTTGAAGAGCTGGCTCCCAAGGGAGCAAGAGCCACCTGTTCCTCCTCCTTGCCTCTTCTCATCCTGACCTCCCAGTGATGGGCAGCCCCAGTGTAGCCAATGACTTGGCTTAGCCAGGTGATTTTTGCAGTTCCCTGCAGTCCGTCAAAGAGCATTTGGTTGTCCTCTGATGGGGATTAGGTGGATGTGGCTGCCATAGAAACTAGAAGGTGACGAATGAAGGTCCATTTGGGATAAGGCTCATGTTCCAGGGAAGGTGCCTGTGAGGACTCCTCTGGCTTTGCCACCTGAGTCTCCCTTCAGTCTGAAAGTGGGGGGGGGGGCATCTCCCGAACCTATGGAAAATCACAACCTTTTGGGAAGGAAGCTTCCATAACAGCCACGTGAAAGTGTGTCTAAATCCTTCTCAGAAATGAATGGCTTTGAGGCCTTTGTGTGCTTCTCTGCAGCAGTTTCAGCTCGTGGAGCAAATTGTTTAGGCTTCCTCTCAGTTTTTCATGGTTGGGCTGCCTTGAGGGCAGACATTTGGGATCGAAATGCAAACCTGGAAGGTTATATGACAAAGATGCTCACAACTCGACTGAAGCCCTAGTGGAAGCCTGGGATAGGTGGCCATGGGGCTTTGGATCGTGTTGTGCCTTTGCAGCCTCTGACCCGGTGTCAATCCCGGGTAGCTCCCTGGTTTACCGAGGAGCTCCGGGAGATGAAACACCGGAAAAGACGCCTAGAGAGTGGTTGGAGGGCCAGCTGGTCCGAATCTGATCGAACACTAGTAAGAATTCATATTAAATCCTACTTAGTGGCGATAAAAGCGGCAAAATGGCAACATTTTTCTGCTCTTATCACCTCTGCAGATAACTGCCCAGCCGCCCTGTTTAGGGTGACCCGCTCCTTACTTAACCAAGGAACTGGGAAAGATACCTTGCAGGGTAGGGCTGAAGAATTTGTTCAGTATCTGCAGGATAAAATCACTCAGATCCGGACAACCTTGGACTCTGACTGGGTAGATTCGGGCGAGTTGACGAGGA